TGTGTGTGTGTGTGTGTGTGTTGTGTGTTGCGTGTGTGTGCGTTGTGTGTGTGTGTTATGTGTGTGTGTGTGTGTTGTGTGTTGTTTGTTGTGTGTGTGTGTGTGTGTGTGTGTCTGTGTGTGTGCGTGCGTGCGTGTGTGTGTGTGTGTGTGCGTGTATACTTGATAATAAATCCTTCCACTCAGTTACGCACATGACCACTTGAGACAATCAAGCGTATATGAGTGTTACGCACATGACCTCCCTCACACGAGCCACTGGAGGTTAATACAATATTCCCAGTTACCTGATAATTATTGTATTAACTGTGGTTTTTAACACTGTTTTAACTGCGGCGGTTAATATGCTTACTGAAAGCGGAGCTTAATATGTAATAACTATGGGGGGATAATACTGCGTTAACTGCGTAGTTAATAGGATATTATCTTCACAATTTACTGTAGGTAATTTTGACCTTTTCATAAGTAATATTTATTTTTATATATGGTGGCTGAAATGAATACGTAATATACATTTCTATCATTTTGCACAAGCTGTATAGCCCTTGTGGTTTAGCGCTTCTGTTTGATTATAATAATAATAATATAATCATTTTACACAAAATTAATTATTATTTCACCTCCCATCTGTCTCTCTGTCTCTCTCTGCCTCTCTGTCTGTCTGTCTGTCTGTCTGTCTGTCTGTCTGTCTGTCTGTTTCTGTCTCTCTAGAAAAGAAAAGGAATTTGGACTAATCATAATCAACGCCCTTCTAAGTTACGAACAATGCCTCTCATAGCTAACACAATGCTAGGTTTCAAAACTAGAAACTTCAAACACAAGACACCTGGCACTATATTGGCTCTCTGTAGTGTACGTTTTAGACAGCATTTAAAATATACCGTCCAGTTTTGATCTTCAAATAACGTAAAAGACGAATACATACTGGAGATAACAGCCATCAAGCTGGTACCATCACTGGAGAGGGTGCAGAGAAGAGCTAACAAGCTGGTACCATCACTGGAGAGGGTACAGAGAAGAGCTAACAAGCTGGTACCATCACTGGAGAGGGTACAGGGAAGAGGTACCAAGCTGCTACCATCACTGGAGAGGGTACAGGGAAGAGCTAACAAGTTGGTACCATCACTGGAGAGGGTACAGGGAAGAGGTACCAAGCTGCTACCATCACTGGAGAGGGTACAGAGAAGAGCTAACAAGCTGGTACCATCACTGGAGAGGGTACAGGGAAGAGGTACCAAGCTGGTACCATCACTGGAGAGGGTACAGAGAAGAGCTAACAAGCTGGTACCATCACTGGAGAGGGTACAGGGAAGAGGTACCAAGCTGCTACCATCACTGGAGAGGGTACAGGGAAGAGCTAACAAGTTGGTACCATCACTGGAGAGGGTGCAGAGAAGAGCTACCAAGCTTGTACCATCACTGGAGAGGGTACAGGGAAGAGGTACCAAGCTGCTACCACCACTGGAGAGGGTACAGGGAAGAGCTAACAAGCTGGTACCATCACTGGAGAGGGTACAGAGAAGAGCTACCAAGCTGGTACCATCACTGGAGAGGGTACAGAGAAGAGCTACCAAGCTGGTACCATCACTGGAGAGGGTATAGAGAAGAGCTACCAAGCTGGTACCATCACTGGAGAGGGTACATAAAAGAGCTACCAAGCTGGCAGAAGATGCAGCTCAGACCAGAATTATAGCAGAATGGAGCAAACTAGCCACTGAAGCTGTCAGGGTGAAGACAGTACAGTCATTTAAGATCCAGCTGGACAAGCACGTTGTACACAAAGAATTTAACTTGATACTACGCTACGGCAAAACAAAATCGATCAGTTGACAAAGGGGCAACGAAGAGTCGTAGAACACAGGAATATGAAGAAAAAGGAGGAACACAGCAGCAGGCCTACTGACCCATACTTGGCTAGTCTATCTCCAAGCCAAACCCACTAAAAAATATTTGTCAGACTCATTACACCGGTTGCCTATGTTCCACATCAGTAAAATGGGTACCTGGGTGTTAGTCGACAGGTGTGGGTCGCATCCTGGGACAAAAACTGACTTATTATTATTATTATCAATGTTATCCAAGGAATAAACTTTGATGACCCTATTAACTCAAGTGTAAGTCTCACTCAAATCCATCCTCTCTCTCACTCATGTATTTATCTAACCAACATTTGAAGCTACCCAAGGTTTTAGCTTCAGTAACCCTACCAGGGAGACTGCTTCACTCATCGACTACTCTATTTCCAAACCAGTACTTCCCTATTTTTTATCTAAATCTAAATTTATCCAATTTGAAACCATTATTTCGAATTCTTTCTTGAAAGGATATCCTCAAAACCCTATATCTTCAAACAGGTGCAGTGTCAGACATATGGAAGTAGATGGTTGCTTTTAGAGATGGTAGCGGTACACGTCCAGCTGTACCTCGGTATCCAGTAGTAGAACCACTGGTACACATGGTTCTTCGAGTGGTGACGTAACAAGAAGTCACGGCATTAACAGTACTAGTTAAGTCAGGGTAGTTTGTAGGTCATGTTTACTGTCCACTTCCGTCTCTCCTTTAAATTCCAAGCCATTTTCCAATGTAATCCCTATTGTCCCGTTTTCATGCCGAGGGATGTTGGAGGGAGTGGAGGGTAGGGAGAGAACCTTCTGCTTTACTATCCTTGACTCACACACACACCTATATAATAATACGCGATAGTCGGTGATGATTTTCAAGTTCTCTTCTATCTTCCCCGTGTACTATTTATCCTCCTCTTACTCCTCCTCCCTCTCCTTCTCCTCCTGAGTCGTCTTGCAGCACGTGGTAGCGGTTGACCTTTGACCTTCGAGGCGTGCGGGGTCACAGTGAGTTGACTCTTACCACCCAGGCACGCGAGCGAGGTCACCAAGGTCCTCCCCCCCCCTTTGTGTTTTCCCCTTTTTTAATCCTTCTTTTTCCTCCCCTCCTTTACTCGACATTCTTTTTACCCTCGTTACCCATTAATTTCCGAACAGAAAGAAAAAAGGAAAAAAGGGAAGAAGAGAAAAAGGGAAGAAGAAAAGAAAAAGAAAAAAGAAAGAAAAAGAAGAAAAAGAAGAAAAAAAATGAAAAAAAAACCAAAAATCCAGAAAAAATAATAAAAGATGAGGAGAAAAGGGTGCACACAATTCCTGAAGAGGCGGGCCGGAGCTATAAATGCCCCCTGCAACCAAAAACTTTAAATAACACCAAAACGTCGAAAAATTACAAAACAAAGAAAAAAAACATTGTACAAACCAATTTTTTAAAAAAGACAAACCTCACCCTAAAACTTGGGGGGTTTTAAGAGGGGTTTGGGGTTGACCGGAGGATGGAACAGAGGGGTTTCGCCTTGGGGCCCCCAAGAGGGGGCCCCATTTTCCGGGGGCTCCCCTGAGATAGAGACCCACTTTTGGGGCTCCCTAGAGAGAGCCCCACTTCTCTGGGGCCCCCCTAAAGGAGAGCCCCATTCGCTGGGGCCCCCTGAGAGAGAGCCCCACTTCGCGGGGGGTCCCTGAGAGGAGACCCATTCTTGGGGTTTCCCCTGAGAGAGAGCCCCCTTTTTTGGGGGGCTCTCCTGAGGAGAGACCACTTCTTGGGGTCTCCGAGGAAGCCCACTTTTTGGGGTCCCTGGGGAGAGGACCCACTTTTCGGGGGGTTCCCTGAGAGAGGACCCACTTCTCTGGGGCCCCCCTGAGAGAGAGCCCACTTTCTGGGGCTCTTCAGAGAGAGACCCACTTCTTGGGGTCTCCTGAGTAGAGCCCCACTTCTCTGGGGTCCCCTGAGAGAGGACCCACTTTCTGGGGCTCTTGAGAGAGGGCCCCCATTTCTGGGGTCCCTGAGAGAGCCCATTCTCTGGGGCTCTCTGAGAGAGAGCCCCTTCTCGGGGGTCCCTGGGGGAAAGGACCCCCTTCTCTGGGGCTCCCCGAGAGAGAGCCCCCTTTTTCTGGGGCTCTCCGAGAAAAGGGCCCCATTCTCGGGGGGCCCCTGAGAGAGGCCCCATTTCTTGGGCCCCCCTGAGATAGAGACCCACTTCGCTGGGGCCCCCCTGAGAGAGAGACCCATTTTTTGGGGGGCCCCCCTTAGAGGGCCCCCTTTTTCTGGGGGCTCTCCTGAGAGAGAGCCCCACTTCTCTGGGGCTTTGAGATAGAGACCCACTTTTTGGGGGCCCCCCTGGGAGAGAGACCCATTTCCTGGGGTTTCCCAGAGGGGAACCCACTTCTCGGGGCTCCCCTGGATAGAGACCCACTTCTCGGGGCTCCCCCTGAGGAGGGCCACTTCCTCTGGGGCCCCCTGAGAGAGAGACCCTTTTCTGGGGGTCTCTGAGGGGAGAGCCCCACTCTCTGGGGTCCCCTGAGATAGAGACCCACTTCTCTGGGGGTTTCCCTGAGAGGAGACCACTTCTCTGGGGTCCCCCTGAGATAAGCCCCACTTCTCTGGGGCTCCGAGAGGGGACCCACTTTTTGGGGGCTCTCCTAGGAGGGACCCACTTCGGGGGGCCCCCCTGAGAGGACCCACTTTTTGGGGCTCCCCTGGAGGAGACCAAATTTGGGGCCCCCTGAGAGGGGGGACCCCTTCTCTGGGGCCCCCTGAGAGAGAGCCCCACTTTTGGGGGCTCTCCTGGTGGGGACCCACTTCTGGGGCTCCCTGAGAGAGAGCCCCATTTTTGGGGTCCCCGGGGAGAGAGACCACCTCGCGGGGGGCTCCCTGAGAGGGAAAACCCCACTTCTCTGGGGCTCCCATGAGAGAGAGCCCCACTTTTCTGGGGTCTCCGAGAGAGGACCCACTTCTTGGGGTTTCCCCTGAGATGAGACCCATTTCTGGGGTCCCCTGAGAGGAACCCACTTCGGGGGCTCCCTGAGAAAGAGCCCCCCACTTCTTGGGGCTTCCCCCTGGAGAGGCCCATTTTTGGGCTCTCTGAAGAGAGCCCCACTTCTCGGGGCCTCCTGAGAAAAGGGGGGCCCCCTTTTTTGGGGGCCCCCCTGAGAGAGAGACCCCTTTTTTGGGGCCCCCTAGAGAGAGACCTACTTTTTGGGGCTCCCCTGAGGAGAGCCCCCACTTTTCTGGGGCTCTGAGGGAGAGGACCCACTTCTTGGGGCCCCCCCGAAGGAGCCCCCTTCTCTGGGGCTCTCTGAGTAGGACCCCTTTTGGGGCCCCCCCCGGGAGAGGAGCCCACTTCTCTGGGGCCCCCCCTGAGATGAGCCCCCTTCTTGGGGTCCCCTGAGAGAGAGACCCACTTCTCTGGGGCTCCCCTGAGATAGAGACCCACTTTTCTGGGGCTCCCCTGAGAGAGAGACCCACTTCTCTGGGGCTCCCCTGAGAGGAGACCCTTTTGGGGCTTTCCTGAGATAGAGACCCACTTCTCTGGGGCTCCCCTGAGAGAGAGACCCACTTCTCTGGGGCTCCCCTGAGATAGAGACCCACTTCTCTGGGGCTCCCCTGAGAGAGAGACCCACTTCTCTGGGGCTCCCCTGAGATAGAGACCCACTTCTCTGGGGCTCCCCTGAGAGGACCCCCACTTCTTGGGGCCCCCCGAGTAGAGACCACTTTTCTGGGGCTCCCTGAGATAGAGACCCACTTTTCTGGGGCTCCTTTGAGATAGAGACCCACTTTTCTGGGGCTCCCCTGAGATAGAGGCCCACTTTTCTGGGGCTCCCCTGAGATAGAGACCCACTTTTGGGGGCTCCCCTAGTAAGACCCACTTCTTGGGGCCCCCCAGGATGAGCCCCACATCTCTGGGGTCCCCTGAAATAGAGACCCTTCTTGGGGCTCCCTGAGTAGAGCCCACTTTTCTGGGGCTCCATTGAGATAGAGCCCCACTTTTCTGGGGCTGCCTGAGATGGGGAAACCATTCTCTCGGGCCCCCCTGAGATAGAGACCCATTCTCTGGGGCCCCCTGAGAGAGAGACCCCTTCTCTGGGCCCCCCTGAATTAGGGGCCCCCACTTCTCTGGGGCTCTCCTGAGGAGGGACCCTTTTCTTGGGGCTCTCCTGAGAGGAGCCCACTTTTTTGGGGGGCTCCCCTGAGAGGAGACCCACTCTCGGGGCTCCCCGAGGGAGAGACCCACTTCTTGGGGTTCCCCTGGAGAGAGACCCACTTTTTGGGGCCCCCCTGAGAGAGAGACCACTTCTCGGGGCCCCTGGAGAGGACCCTTTCTCTGGGGCTTCCTGAGAGAGGGCCCCATTTTGGGGTTCCTGAAGGGGGAAACCATTTCGGGGCTCCCCGGAGGAGGGCCCCATTCTCTGGGGCTCCCCTGGAAAAGGGGACCCATTTTTGGGGGCTTCCTGAGAGAGGGACCCACTTTCGGGGTCCCCTGGAGAGAGCCCCACTTATCTGGGGTCCCCAGAGAGAAAACCCCACTTCTCTGGGGCCTCCGGAGAGGCCCACTTCCTGGGGTCCCCTGAGAGAGAGACCCACTTCTCTGGGGCCCCCCTGGAGGAGACCCACTTCATGGGGCCCCCCTGAGAGGAGCCATTTTGGGCCCCCCTGGGGAGAGACCCATTTTTTCGGGGGGCTCCTGAGAGAGGGCCCCCACTTTTGGGGGTCCCTGAGGAGAGACCACTTTTGGGGCTTCCTGAGATGGACCCCTTCTTGGGGTCCCCGAGGAGAGACCCCTTTCGGGGCTCCCATGGATGAGACCCACTTCTTGGGCCCCCCCTGAGAGAGAGACCCACTTCTCTGGGGTCCCCTGGATGGGGGCCCCACTTTTTGGGCTCCCCCTGAGAGAGAGCCCCATTTCTGGGGCCCCCCTGAGAAGAGACCACTTTCTGGGGTTTCCCTGGATGGACCCACTTCTCAGGGCCCCCTGAAGAGAGCCCCACTTCTCTGGGCCCCCCTGAGTTTGAGACCCACTTTCTGGGGTCCCCTGAGGAGGACCCTTCTTGGGGCCCCCCTGAGATAGGCCCCACTTCTCTGGGTCCCTGAGATAGAGACCCACTTTTCTGGGCCCCCCTGAGATAGAGACCACTTTTTGGGCTCCTTTAGATGAGCCCCACTTTTCTGGGGCCCCTGAGTAGAGGCCCATTTCTTGGGGCCCCCTGAGATGAGCCCCCTTTCTTGGGCTCCCCTGAGATGAGACCCATTCTCGAGGCCCCCCCAAGGGTATGAGACCCTCTTGGGGTCTCCTGAGATAGGCCCCATTCTCTGGGGCTCCCCTGAGATAGAGCCCCACTTTTTGGGGCTCCATTGAGATAGAGACCCACTTTTTGGGGCCCCCCTGAGATAGAGACCAATTTTCTCGGGCCCCCTGGGGATAGAAAACCATTCTCGGGGGCTCCCCTGAGGGGAGAGCCCCCTTCTTGGGGCCCCTGGATAAAGGCCCATTTCTCTGGGGCTCCCTGGGGGAGGAGGACCCTTTCGGGGTTCCTGAGATAGAGACCCACTTCTCGGGGGCTCTTCTGAGAAGGCCCACTTCTTGGGCTCCCCGAGGAAGACCCACTTTTGGGGTTTTCCCCTGAGATAGAAACCCATTTCTGGGGCTTCTGAAAAGAGACCCATTTCGGGGGTTTCCCCCTGAGTAGAGACCCTTTTGGGGCCCCCTGAGATGGGAACCCACTTCTTGGGGCCCCCCAGAGATAGAGACCCATTCTCTGGGGTTTCCCCTGAGAGAGAGACCCACTTCTCGGGGGCCCCCCTGAGATGAGACCCACTTTTTGGGGCTCCATTGAGATAGGGACCCCTTTTCTGGGGCCCCCGAGATAGGCCCCTTTCTCTGGGGCTCCCTGAGTGAGCCCCCACTTTTTTGGGGCCCCCCGAGAGGGAGACCCACTTTTTGGGGCTCCCCTGGATAGAGACTCACTTCTTGGGGACCCCCGGATAGGACCCACTTCTCTGGGGCCCCCCGAGATGAGACCCACTTCTTGGGGCTCCCCTGAGATGAGCCCCATTCTCTGGGGCCCCTGGGGAAGAGACCACTTCTCTGGGGCTCCCTGAGATGAGACCACTTTCTGGGGCTCCCCTGGATGAACGACTTCTCGGGGGCTCCCGGGAAAAGGACCCCCTTCTCTGGGGCTCTCCTGAGATAGAGACCACTTCTCTGGGGCCCCCCTGAGTAGGACAGTTCTCGGGGCCCCCCTGGATAGGCCCCCACTTCTCTGGGGCCCCCCTGAGATAGAGCCCCACTTTTGGGGCTCCCCTGAGAGGGACCACTTCTCGGGGGCCCCCTGGAAAAGGGGGACCCACTTCTCTGGGGCTCCCGAGACGGAGACCACTTTCTGGGGTCCCCTGAGAGGACCCATTCTTGGGGCCCCCCTAAATAGGACCCACTTCTTGGGGCTCCCTGAGAAGGCCCTTCTCTGGGGTCCCCTGAGAGGAGCCACTTCTCTGGGGGGGCCCCCTGGATAGGACATTTCTGGGGCTCCCTGAGATAAAAACCACTTCTTGGGGTCCCTGGAGAGAGCCCCATTCTCGGGGTTCCCCTGAGATAGAGACCCATTCTCGGGGCCCCCCTGGAGAGGCCCCCATTTTTGGGGGCCCCCTGAGTAGAGCCCCTTCTCGGGGGCTCCCCTGATATAGAGCCCCATTTTGGGGTCCCTGAGAGAAAACCCCACTTCCTGGGCCCCCCTGAGATAGGGGCCACTTTTGGGGCCCCTGCATAGACCCCCATTTTCTCTGGGGCTCCCCTGCGAGGAGACCTACTTCTCTGGGGCTCCCCTGGTAGAGACCCACTTCTTGGGCTCCCCTGAGTACCGATGACTCTCTGCTCCACTGTAGATGGATCTTTCTGCTCTGCTGCTGCTGTTGACTGCCTGCTGTGCTGCTGCTGCCTGCTGCTGCTCTGCTGCTGCTGCTGCTGCCCTGCTGCTGCTGCTGCTCTGCTGCCTGTGCTTTCTGCTGCTGCCTGCTGCTGCTTGCTGCTGCCTCGCTGCGGCTGCCCTCCTGCTGCCTGCTGTTGCTGCTGCCTCTGCTGCTGCTGCTGTGCTGCTGCCTGCGTGCTGCTTCTGTCTCTGCTGCTGGCTGCTTGCCTTTCTGCTGCCTGCTGATCTGCTGCGCTGCTGCTGGCTGCCTGCGTGACTGCATGCTGCCTGCTGCTGCCTGCTGCTGCCTAGCTTCTGCTGCTCTGCATGTGCTGCTGCCTCTGCTGGGCTTGCTGTTGATGCTGCTGCTGCTTGCTGAGTGCTGCCTGCTCTGCTGCTGCTGCCTGCTGCTGAGTTTGTCTGTTTCTGCTGTCTGCTGCTGCCTGGAGTGCTGCTGCTGCTGCCTGCTGAGTGCTGCCTGCTGTCTGCTGCTGCTGCTGCCTGCTGGAGTGCCTGCTGCTGGCTGCCTGCTAGAGCTTGCTGCTGCTGGTGTTGCTTGCTCTGCTGCCTGCTGCGGCTTGCTGCTGCTGCTGCTGCTGCTGCTGCTGCTGCTGTGCTGCCTGCTGCTGCCTGCTCTTGCTGCTGCTGCTGCTGCCTGCTGCTGCCTGTCTGCTGCTGCCTGCTGGATGCTGCTTGCTGCTGCTGCTGCTGCTGCCCTGCTGGAGTTGCTCCTCTGCTGCTGCTGCTGCTGCTGGAGTTGCTGTTTCTGCTGCTGCTGCTGCTGGAGTTGCTGCTGCTGCTGCTGCTGCTGAGAGTTGCTGCTGCTGGAGCTGTTCTGCTGCCTGCTGGAGTGCTGCTGCTTGCTGCCTGCTAGAGTTGCTGCCTGCGGTTGCTGCTGCTGCTCTGCTGGAGTTGCTGCTGCTGCTGCCTGCTGGAGTTGCTGCCGTGCTGTTCTGCTGCCTGCTGGAGTTGCTGCTGCTGCTGCTGCTGCTAGATGTGTCTGCTGCTGCTGCTGCTGCCTGCTGCTGCTCTGCTGCTGCTCTGCTGCTGTGCTGCTTGCTGGAGTTGCTGCTGCTGCTGCTGCTGCCTGCTGGAGTTTGCTGCTGCTGCTGCCTGCTGGAGTTGCTGTTTCTGCTGCTGCTGCCTGCTGGAGTTGCTGCTGCTGCTGCTGCTGCCTGCTGGAGTTGCTGCTGCTGCTGCTGCCTGCTAGAGTTGCTGCTGCTGCTGCCTGCTGAGTTTGCTGTCTGCTTGCTGGGTTGCTGCTGCTGGCTGCTGAGTTGCTGCTGCTGTGCTGCCTGCTGGAGTTGCTGCTCTGCGTGCTGCCTGCTGAGTTGCTGCTTGCGCTGCTCCTGCTGGAGTTGCGTGCTGTGCTGACCTGCTGG